GATAGATAGATGATAGATAGACAGATGATAGATAGATGATAGATAGATAGATAGATAGATAGATAGATAGATAGATAGATAGATAGAGATATTTGGTACAAGTATATTTTTTCCATCTTCTTTTGATATTACTGGCATCATTCAATACTTTTCCCATAGAAGCTTTAATAGTGTCTTATGTACTACCTTAAGAATTAGCAAATCTGTCTAGAAAGAAGTACAGACTCAGAAGATGGTGACGCTGCCTCAGTTAATTTGGACAAGCCAGGAAAGCCAGGCCCTGGAGACGGGACTCGGGTTTGAAAAGGTAGAGGGTTAGGGTAGAAGGAGAAGACCCACAGGGAAATGAACCGACACAATGACTGCAACAAGAGGCTCAGCGTACTCAGCTACGCTCAACATTGTGCCATGGCCAAGCAGAGGCAGGGTTGTGAGGATCACAGGACCCGGCAGTATTTCGTGGTATTGTATGTACACAGGAACTAACTGAGGAGGAGCTAACTGGGAAACATCTAACAACAACCTCAAGGTTTAAAAATAGGGCTTTCTCTACAATTAAGGTCTCTCCAACCCCTCCAGTTGATGGTTAGTTTCTTTTCTACTGTTTTACTATATCAATTTAGGTGTGTGTACGTATTGTGCTGTAAAACATTTGAAATTGATATACTGTCACTTATATTAGAAATTCATTAAGGTCTGATGTTTTCTGTGTGTATAAAACCCGAGGGTCACAAAGAACACCATCAAATATGCTTAATTGTTTTGAGTTTTGGCTTTCTAGATGGTGTGGAGCACCTTTCCTCTTTGTCAATATTCAAAAATCCCAATAAACAAATGTTAGAGATATCCTGAGAGTTTCTTGGTGAGCTATCTTTCTAGTCTAGGATCCAAATCATTGCAAGCAATTGTTGATATTTGTGTGTAATCACTCCATATGGCTATATTTTATGAAAGGCAGGGTGTTACAGTGCTATTGGCAAAGGAGAATTAAAACCACTCTTAAAGAGTAAAGTTACAATCCTAGATCTTGGAAAACTTTATGAGTCTATACATGAACATGCTTATCCGTTTCCCTTCTGAGTTAGTTAATTGTGCCAGCCTGGCCAATAATCACATGTGGGGCTAATTGAAAGGCGGAGGGAAAAATGGGTGGTGAGCCTCGCCTTCCTAGGTCTCTTGCTTTGTGATGGTCAGACCAGGGTGCAGCTGCCTTAGCAGTTCCTTGCTTCAGCTTGCAAGATTTACTCCCTACAAGACATCCCTAAGGAGAAGCCACATGGACCTATCCCGATGCAGCCCTGGGTGCTGGAGCAGCTGTGTGGAGACCTCCGCTAGTGCTGAGATGCTTATTCGTTCACTGACTCAGCTTTCCTCCTGCAGTCGGCATTATTGCCTCTGTTTTGTGAGGTGGGGGACTTTGTGGACTGGTGTTGGGTTAATGGGTTAATGTTGGACTTGTGGGCTTGGGCAGCATTTGGTTGGGATGTTTTCATGATGCACATTTTCTTTACATAAAACTCTCTTATACATGAGTTGCTGTGGATTTGTTTCTCCAAAGTACCCAGACTAATACACCTTCCTTCATCTCCTTACCAGAGCTGCCACAACGGGCTAGGTCCACGGGTCTTCCATTTTTATCAGAGCAGGCTATCGCTCGAAATCGCACACCTTCTCCACATTCCTTAGAGTGCCCTTGTACCAGCAATCCTCGATGAGACTCCTTTCTGCCTTCCGGAAGAATGCAGGCTGACCAGTTTCCAAACGGTTGGGGTATAAATACATCACAGGGACATGGCTCCGTTTCAACTAGTGGGTACGTGTCCGCGTCCTGGCATTTCTCCTTCTTCCTGCTTTTCCCTGTTTCAATAAGAGACAGAGATGTATTACTTTTAGGTCTACTGTTTTGCTAAAAATTGCATTTCTGTAACTGCAGGTTCACATAATATTAAATTTCAAGTGAAATGAAGTTGTCTCTTCCTCTATGATTTTAAAAAATTTCTCATTACCACCTTTTTTCTCTCTCTCTCTCTCATCAATTTGTTTGTTTGCTTGTTTGTTTAATTATTTATTTTTGCCATCGAGGTAAACACTTGGCCATTGGAAGCATCTTTCAGTGAAAATGTAATCTTTTGTATACATTCTTCTCAAAATTATGGGTTGTCAATGAAACAAAACAAAAAAGTATTAAATAGCAACCTTTTGGCCAAGTAATTTTTTATTCGAGGGAGATAATGGCAATTCAGTAGTAAAATATTTGTCCTCCCTGCAGGAGACCCAAGTTCAACTCCTGGCCAATGAACTTTATACATAGTCACTATCAGTTTATCATTCCATATGTGTGTTGCTATTATGTTAATAGTTTTAAGAGGAGCTTCCAGACTAAGACAAACTAGAAAAAAGGGCTAGCAATTTACTTCTGAAAAATCACCCAATGAAATTCCCGTGTATCTCAATGATCCACTGAACCCAGGTTTTAGTCCGGAAGTTCACTGAAATGCAATGATTTATTTAACAACAACTTTTATTCAAGAAGCAAATTAACATTAAATATAATGGACAGGGGTAGGAGTGGGATTGGGGTCACAGAGCCACAGTTGACCAAGATCAATTCATTTCAAATATTGCTATAAGGCAGCTGAAATTTTCTGACATCAATATATGGAAATGAATGATCAAATAATGTTATATGATTTAATCAAAGAGAAAGCGATTACTTCCCTTTTCAGAAACCCTTTTAACTTAATTACTCTAGAATAACTGTACCTCACCACACGATTGGTGGAATTTTATATGAGATTCCAATTTTGAGTAATGACAATGCAAGATTATTTTTCACAACTGTGAATATATATTAATTATTTTTAGTGGATCCGAGTTAGCCTGTAACTTGATTCAACTTTACCATATTTTCTCTATTTTACTAAGAATCTTTCTTAGGTATCATAGTTCCACCTTTTTTTAAAAGATCATTTTATTGGGGGCTCTTACAGCTCTTTTTTTCCCCCAGCTCTTATAACAAACCATACATCAATTGTATCAAGCACATTTGCACATATGCTACCATCATTGTTTTCTAAGAATTTACTTTCTGAGTCCTTGGTATTAGCTCCTCCCCCCACCCCATGACCCCTTGATAAATTATTGTTATTTTTATATCTTACACCAACTGCTGTCTCCTGTAAGAAGAGTTTCGTTTTGATGAAGTCCAACTTACGTTTTTTTTAAGGCTGATGGGTGAGTGGGTGTGTCTAGTGCTTCGTCAGCTTATAGAAATGGCGTAATTGGTAATCCATCAGTTCCTGGAGCCTTGTTGTAGGATACTGCCTGCAGTGCAGCTTGGACTTCCTCTCTCTACCCACTGATTCTTGATCTTATGCTACCTCTTGAAACAGTCAAATATCGATCAGTTATTTTGGTACAGTGACGGAATTATTTCCATCTGTTTGGGTGCTTCCTGAATCCTTCAGCCTTCAATAATTTTCCTCTAGACTCTTTCAATAGTGCATGAATATTTTCTTTTGTTCTTTCAGCATAAGCTATACTGAGTGTGCCCTTCCTTCTTGCTGTTCTAAACTCTAGGTCTTTGCATATTTCATTGTAATATTTGACTTTGTCTTCTTGTCTGCCCTTTGACATTTTCTGTTCAGCTCTTAGACTTCATCATTTCTTCCCTTAGCTCAAAACAAAACAAAACAAACAAAAAACCCACAAGCTCACTGCCACCAAGTTGATTTTGACCCTATCAGACAGGGTAGAACTGCCCCTGTGAGTGTCCAAGACTGTAACTCTTGACAGGGGTAGAAAGCCTCCCCTTCCTCCCAAAGAAGCAGGTGGTGCTTCACAATGCAGACCTTTAGGATCCCAGCACAGAGTGTAGCCAGTCGGATTCCTCAGCTATTCTATGCTCCAGAGCGAGTTTCAGAGGCTCTCCCGATCTCCACTTTGGTGGTTCAATTCTTTCCTGTCTTTTTAATGTTTTTTTGTTTGCTTCATGGATGATGTTCTTGATGGCCTCCCACATTTCATCAGATCATCTGTCTTGAATGTTCATTACATCAAATCTGTTATTGAGATATTCTAAAAATTCAGGTGGGATAGACCCAGCTTTGCATTTGAGCTCTGGTGGACTTGTTTTATTTATCTTTTCCCGCTTCTACCTGAATTTGAAGGTGAGCAATGTCCACAGTGGGTCCCTGGCCGGTTTAGCTGCTGGTACTCAACTTCTCCTTTGCTTCTTCCCACAGATGAAGTCAATTTGGTTTCTCTTTATTCCATATGGCGAAGTCCACACGGACAGTCCCCATTTCTGTGGCTGAAAACAGCTATTTGCAAAGAAGAAGTAATTGGTGTTGCAAAGTTCAATCATGTGACCTCCAGTTCATTTCTATCATCATCGATGCTACCTTTTAAACTACTGTCCCTTCCTCCCGGTTTTCAACTTTTGCATTCCAATCACCAATGATTATCAATGCATCTTGATTGCAATGGTGATCAATTTCAGGTTGAAGACATAGGAAAGTTCTTAAATTTCTTCACCATTTGCTTCAATTGTTGGTGCATGAATTTGAATAAGAGTTGTACAGATTGCATTTCCTTGTATGGGACAGATATTATCTTCCCACAGGCAGGCTGGTGCTTCATGATCTATCTTGAAATGTCCTTTTGGATGATGGATTCGATGCTATGGCTCTTTCATCTGTCGTTCCTGGCACAGTGAGCCCTAGTCAATTTTCTGTTGATATTCCTGAGGTTTTCAGTATCTGACAAGGTTTCAATGCTATCCGTAAATTCTGACATATTGAAACTTGTTGTTGCTGTTCTCTAACTCCTAGGGCATACCCAGCTCACTCCCCTGGCTACATCGGTACTACTCTATGTGTTTCTTGGTGGATTCTTAGCCCTCTCATTCATGTCCATCAAGTTAATTCTGACTCACAGGGACCTGATCGTCCTCTCTTATCTCACCGGGCTCCTCGGAGTGTTTGCTACTCTCGCTTCTCTCTGCTGATCCGAAAGCCTCACTGGCACCAAGATTTGCAATTATCATTCATCTATAGAATTTGAATCGCAAATTATTATCTTATTAACGTGCCAATGCTTCTGACCAACAGACTATAAATCCACACCTAAAATATGATCAGAACTCAGTCTGGGAAAGTCCAAACTTGTTTTCATCACAATCTCTCTCTCTTTTTGTGTGTGTTTCTCAATGCCATTTACATGAACAAGTTGATAGGTCACCCTCAGATGACTTCCATCGTGCTGCTTGCATCATAGCTCCCTGGAATTGGTGCCGATGCACAGTGAACTTACAGGACAGGGTAGAACTGCCTCTAGAAGTGTCCAAGACTATAACTTTTAAAAAGTAGAAAGCCTCATTTTTCTACCACAGTGTAGCTGGTGGTTTCAAACTGCTGACCCTTATGCATTGCAGAATATATAATTTCAAATTCCCAAATTTCTCTTGAACCAGTCCGTTTGATTCCATTCCAAGTGGTATTCACCACATTTAAGACCTTCATCCTAGAAGTCTACAGTTTAGATTTCACTACATCTTGAGCTGAGGTCTTTTTGCTCCCATACTTCACCCTCTCTATTCTGTTCTTCACATTGCAGTCAGAAACAACATCCAAAGACATAAATCTCATCACATCGCCTGTAGACATAAAACTCTTTAGTAACTTCTCAAGGTTTAAGAATGAAGCCCAGGCCCTGACCATCCTTAGCATTTGGCTCCTGCTTAAGCTGCACCACTGTGTTTGGTGTGTTACAATCCAGCAGTACTTGGGATCTTCCATTGTCTAGAAATTACACATTTGGTTTCTGGCTTTTGCATGTGCTACTCAAGACATGCTAGATGGTTTTCTCCTCCATTTTTTAAGCTCAGTTAATTTTCACTTGTCCTTCAAATTCCAGGTTAAATCACTGGTATTGAGCTCTAGCAAGCTTTCCTTGGACTGGATCCCCTGCCCTCAGAGAGTCAGAGAAAGATAAGACTATTGAGGAATGGTAAGAGAGCAGCGATACTGCTGGCTTTGAAGATGGGCACATAGGGCCAAAACCAATGAATCAGGTTGATCTCTAGAACTGGAAAGAATTATTTTCCACACACCCAGAAAGAAATACAGCACCGCCAATGCAATGCTTTTGACCAATGAGACAGATGTCAAATTTCTGACCTGGGAGCAGTAAAATAGCAAATTTGTCTGTAGCACGCCACCATTGATGGCAATTTGTTAGAGCAGCAAAGATATACTAATACAGTATCCTATAAAATACCTATTATTGCAGGAACCACATTATATCTTTATTGTCTGTCGTAAAAATCTATAGTTAGGTCCCATTGAATTAAAATTAGGTTAATCTCTTCTCTTGCGGCGTTCCCAAGAACTGGCACCTGAATGTGTTAAACAATGACAAAAATGTGCATTGTATAGTTGAGAAAGGAGATTTTTTAAAGGGCAGGGGGAGAAAAGAGGAAAACAGAGGAGGGAAAAATAACCCCACTTCATTTACAAGGCAACCTAATGTTACTACTAATAGTAATATTCTGTACAAATACGCATTGTCTTCTATTTTTGTGTAAGCCTATGTATTATATGACATCACAGTATGAAGAACTAGGAACATGGTATTTAATGTAGAAATGGTTCTTACAATATGAAAACAATTATCAGTTGTTTTCTCCTTTGATTACATTCTAATAAACATCAACAGCTTGTGCAAATATGTATATATAATAAAAGCAATCCCTAGTAGAACAATTTAAAAAAAATGTTTTTTCCCTGTCAGAGGGAAATTTGTGCTGAACCCTCCAAAAACATAAAACTACAGGTATCACATATGTGTATATAGGTGCATGTAGGTTATTCAATTATTCTAATTGTATATCATTGTTAAGAACCCAGAAATGTTTTTTATAAATTATTTTGTGCACAGTATAAACAACTTATCTAATTAACGATTGTGATAGTCAAGCTTTATTGTGCCAACCTGGCCAATAAACACATGTGTGGTTAATTGAAGGGCGGAGAGATAAATGGCTCTGTGAGCATCGTCTTTCTAGTTCTCAGGTCTCTTGCTTTGTGATGGTCGGAGCAGGGTGCAGCTTCCTTAGCCAGTTCCCTGCTTCAGCTTGCAAGTCTCACTTCCTGCAAGATATCCCTGAGGAGAAGCTGCATGGACCTACCCTGATGCAACCCTGGGTGCTGGAGCAGCCACATGGAGATCACTGCCAGTACTGAGATGCTTACATACGACACATGGACTAATATTGGACTTATGGGCTTGGACTGGACTGGGTTGTGATGTTTAATGTACAATTATCCTTTATAAGAAACTCTCTCTTATAAAACATGAGTATTTATGGATTTTGTTTCTCTAGTCTACCCAGACTAACACACTGATCAATCTAAAAACTGTGTTAGTCAAGGCTGGTTTGTCATACCACAAGTATAACTACACAGTGAATTACAACTTCTTGGTTTAAAAAAAAAGTGGCAGAAGCAAAACATCTATGTGGGCTCATTATCTATTACCGTAGTGTCTGTTTATTGTGAGTGAGTGTGTGTGTGTGTGTGTGTGTGTTAGAGAGAAAAATAATTGCATGGCCCTTGGAGTTTGAGCATGTCCATTTACTGCCATGAATGTTTGAGAGGAGAGAGGAAGGAAAGAGTGACAGAGACAAAACCCTGGGAACCAGGATCATTATCAATGGAGCCACTTATAACAACAATTAGTCATTTGTGCTTAATTTTTCAGAGATGTCAACAAGAATTTTATTATCTCAATGATTATTCTGGCATTTTTTCTCTGCTTCTCCATTTTCCCAATTAAGTTTTCTTGCACATACAAATGCACACTCTCTTAAGAGAACTTCCAGGAAATTTCAACAGACTATCATAAAATATATCATTGCATCAATTACTTGTGCATTTGGTGCAAACAAATGTTCTAAGACCTTAGTTTCCTTAATCTCCATCATTTTTGCAAATCCTAACAAAGCTGCCAATACATTAGCATAAAAGAAAAATCTCTATATGTAACTTTTGCCACACATTACTAAAATTGTAAAATTTCTTATAAGATAATGACAAAAAACAATAGGATAAATTAGGTCCATCTTTTATGTTCTTTCCGAAGCAGTGATAACATGGCAAACCACCATAAAATTCGCCATTGTTTACTCAAAAGAAGAGGAGCAAATTTGCTTTTATGACTATAAGGACATTATGTAGAGGTGAGGCTTTACAGCTATAAAATTATTCATATCTTTCATTCCTTTCACAAAAGATGTTGCTGTTTATCACTGAGTCAGTTCTAAATCACAACAACCCTATTTGACAGAGTAGAACTGCCCCGTAGGGTTTCCTGGGCTATAATTTTTACGGGAGCATACGGACACATCTTATCTCCCCAGGAGCACTCTGTGCTTAAAACTGCTGACCCTTCAGGTAACAGTCACACACCTAACCAAGTGCTTACCCAACGCTCCTTAAAATATATACATACCAGAGGGAAGAGGAAAGCAAGCTTAACACAAACCCCTGTCCTTCTGGAGCTTATATTCTGCTTTGGAGTTGCAGAGGAACACAGCTGATCACTCCCGACGGGTGCAGTAGAAAGCACCCCATACCTGTGAGCTGCCGCCTCCTACTGCGGGTTGTGTCACAGGTCCCTGAGCAGGGCGTGAACTTGGACCAGGGCGAGAAGGTGCAGTCATCTCGACATGGGACCTGGCACTCTTGCACAAGAGGCGGCATGCCACTCTTCTGCTTCAGGCATTCTGTCATGTCTGCCAACTGGTTGTCATCAGAAGCACAAGAGATAGCTAAAAAGAGCACAGATTCTTTTGTTATTATTTTGATTAAATTGTTCAGCCACCAGTTCTTTGACAAAATATTAGAATGCTTTAATGTTTCGAAATCTGGTTATTGCTGTGACTGCACAAGATGTTCAACTCAGCTAACTTTATTTCTTTCTGTAAATTAAATTTTTACTGTTGCCATTGGAGGTATTTGAGGCTTTAAATTTGTTTTCTTTTATTATTAATTCAAACCCTGCATTGACAGCAAGCAAAATCACTCCCAGCACGTTATGATATGGCCTGCTTGTGAGCATCAGACCTCTAGAGAGATCAGACTAGGAAAAAGAATCTGCAAGAGGGAGTGAGCCGAGGACACAAACGTTCACACATCATAGAGGCTATCCCCAGATTTGATTTGTGTTTGTGCTTACCTGTTTTAATGACACGTACAGAGATGGTTCCCTTTTCATTCATATTTAAATAGTTTGAACTTAGAAGTTTTTAATCAGTTTTAAAAAACAACCACAGGCATAATCTAGTCATATAATTCCAGTAACAAATATCCTATCAGGTGCACATTACTCGTTCAACTCTCTATCACATATTTTTTCAACTAGCTTGTCCCCTAGTCATATTATAAAATAATCAACAGCTTCCTGGTAATGTAGTTAAGAAATTTTTATTTTTTGAGATTTTGGACTAACTCCATTTATTTTATTCATTCATTTATTCATTTGTGATATTTTTGAGAAGCCTTTATTCACTCTGATTAGTTATGGGCTCCCTGGTGATGTACCTCTATAATTTATATATTCTCTACACCAATATTTCCAAACCTTATCACTACTGACATTTTATATTGGATACGTGTATGTGGTATATATGTTTGTCTTCTGTTTTGTGGATATTTAGAAGAATTTCAGCCCCACGTATTAGATGCCAGTTGTTGCCATGCCCAGATTATGACAACCCAAACCATCTCCCTACATGAATAAATGTTCCCGAGGGAGAACTCCTTTTCTTGACTTATTCCTAAATCAGGGATGTTTGTGAGAATTCGAATGATTACCTTGGATCTATTACACCAGTATCTCTGGAGGAGAAATCCAAGTCTGGGAATCTTTAAGTATCCCACATGATTTGGATCCACTCTCCATCCATATTTGCTTGGTACTTTTGGGCAAGGTAAGCATTAATGAATACTTGCTGAGTTTATCACTTTAAAGAATCCACAGCTAGAACCCATGATTAATCACAGCTCTTCAAAAGTACTTAATCACATGGAATAACAAGAAAACAGCTTAGAATCAATGACGTTAACAACTCTTTAAACAAATATGTCTATAATAGGTTAAAAGTACATAGGGCTTCTTAAAATATAAAGACAAAAACAAGCTGTTATCAAGTGGATGCTGACTCATAGCTATCCTCTAAGAACTGCCCCTGTGAGCTTCCAAGACTTGAATGCTTTACTAAAGTAGAAAGCTCTATCTTACTCCAGAGGAGAGGCTCGTGGTTTTCGAATAACTGACTTTTCAGATTGAGGCCAAATGCATAACCACTACAGCAACAAGTTTCCTGTGTTAGTCTGGGTACTTTAGAGAAACAAATCCACAGGAACTCCGGTAAAGAGAGAGTTTTATGTAAAGGTTAAGTGCACATCAAGAAAACATCCCAACCCAAGCCCGCAAGTCCAACATTAACCCATATGTCCAACACCAATGCACAAAGTCCTCCTCCATCTCACAAAACACACACTATGATGCCGACTGCAGGAGGAAAGCTGAATCAGTGAATGTGTAAGCATCTTAGTGCTGGCAGGGGTCTCCCCATGGCTGCTCCAGCACCCAGGCCTGTATCAGGGTAGGTTCATGTGGCTTCTCCTCGGGGATGTCTTCCAGGAAGTGAACCTTACCAGCTAAAGCAGGGAACTGGTGAAGGCAGCTGCACCCTGGTCTGACCATCAGAAAGCAAGGGGCCAGAGAACTAGAAAGGCGAGGCTCACCGAGTCATTTATCCCTCCACCCTTCAATTAACTCCACATGTGTTTATCGGCCAGGTTGGCAGATTAAACTAACTCAGTTCCTTAAGACAAGGACATCTTTTAATTTAAATCTATTTCTTTATTCTGAGCATAATATATAACACATCTATCTAAACATCATATTTATCTTCTTTATAACTGATTGAAGCCAACCTCATCCAATGTTTTAGGATGAGGAATTAGCTACAATGACAATAGATTGACACATAATAGCTCCTAGTTGGTACATATGCTTCCTGGAAGGTGGGACCATTCATTGATCTTGATTTTTCTAAAAAAATAAATAAATAAATCCACATTCTGGGGCAAAATCCATCACACAACAAGCCAACACCACCTACACAAACTCATTGAAAATGAATGCAGCAATACATATTATACTAAATAGGGTATGAGCATATGGAATTTGAATTTTATGACTAAATAATGAATTGGAGGATTTTCATCTCGCCAATATTTTTTTCCAAGATAAAAATGTTCTGAATAACATAGAAGAGGACTTTTTAAATTATCTCTTAAAGCATTATTATTTGAAATTTAAACTAATAGAACAAAAATGAGCATTTTTCATGCTAAGACATTATTTAGAACGTTTTTATTAATTTTTTATTATTACTTTTGAATACGTTTATAAATAGAACATAATGATGAAACACAGCTTTAATGATCTTCTGATGTTGTACAAAGTACCTAATTAGAACCCCTAGGTTTGTTGGTGCAGTATCACATCAACACGTAATGCCACAAACGGAGATAGAGTCAGAAGAAAACTTGGCATGAGGACCTCATTGCTGACGTCAGATAGATCTTGACTGACAGTAGAGAACAGCAGAAAGAGCCTTCTATTTCAGTGACTGTGCAAAAACATTTGAAGACATGAATGGATGATTAGAAATTAAGGACAGCATTACAAAGAATGGGACCTCTAGAACATTTAATTTTCTTCATTTAATTTTCTTGGCCTATATATAGGCCAAGAGGCAGTCCTTTGAATAGGACAGGAAGATACAGAGTGGTTAAACTCAGAAAGAAAGATACATCAGGGTTGTATCCTTTCACCTCAATCAGTCTGAGCGCTGAGCAAAGAATCCTAGAAGCTAGAGTCTCTGAAGAAGAATGTGGCACCAGCACTGGAGAAGAAATCATCAACAACCTTACTGGCTGAAGGTGAAGAAGATGTGAAACAGAAGATCAAAGACTACAGCCTTCAGTGGGGCTGACACCTCAGTATAAAGAAAAGAAAAATACATGAACCGAGTCTTGCTATTTCCAGATGCCTCATGGGCATCTTCACCTTGTGTAGGTGAAGAATATTAAACAGAACTACAGACTACCATATGAATGAACTTAACTGTGTTTGAAGAAGTATAGTCAGAATGCTCCTCAAGGAGTATAAAGGCTACTCCCACCCCACCAAAAAACAACAACAACAAAGTTAAAATGCTCCTCTGGGCAGTGCTTTAGTAGCAGTACACATTTTCCCCACTAGGTGAGCCTCCAGCAACTCACTCTGAGTTGGTGCACCCAGTGGCATCACCTGAGAAGGTTCTCTCTGGTCACTGAATTCTTTCACGAAAGCAGTTGTGTTTGAACCCCATTTTTATGATGGCTGATTTAAGAGAATGGGTGCGGCTGTGAGATTTTGGTTCCTGCTCAGGAAAAATGCCACTGAAACTGCTGTGATATTGAACACAGCACATAGGGACAGTGCTAAGGGACAAAATCAAGTATATGAGTGGTTTTCTCATTTTAGAAAAAGGTGAAATGTCTATTGATGACAAACCTTGTTCTAGATGTCTGTCAACTTCATGAATGGATGAAAATGCTGACTCATAATGTATTTGGAGTTCCACCAGGTCAGACTGTTATTCAAGCTTTCTATTTAGAGGTTCTGAAAACTGCATAATAGTGTGTGACAACAAAGGCCTGGTTTGTGGCAGACCAGGGGCTGGTTTTGCCACCACAACAATGCACCTACTCATGCAGTCATCTCAGTGTGCCATATTTTGGCAAAAATCAGCATGCCTCTCTTGCCCCACACACCTTACTCACCTGACCTGGCTCTGTGAGACTTCTTTTTGTTTCTGTGAATGAAGAAGAAGTTTCCATGAATGAAGAGGGACATGAAAGAACAGTGATTTCACGACGCAGAAGGGGTGTAGAAGAAAGCGAGGGCAGTTCTGTCAGCCATCCAACCAAAATAATTTGAAAAATATTTCCATGAATGGAATGGCAGATTTGACAAATGTATTAAGTGTAATGGAGAGTACTTTGAAGGTTGTTTTGTTAAAAAAAAATGCCTAGCATTAATGAGAATATTTCATTTGTGGGAGTATCGCCTTGTATATGTACTCTGAACGTGCTATCAGGGGCTGGTCCCTGGAGAAGGACATCATGCTTGCAAACGTAGAGGCCAGGGGGAAAGTGGAAGAAGCCCAATCATATGGATGACAAAGTAGCTGCAACAAAGGGCTCGCAAAGCGGTTATGAAGATAGCATCGAACCAGGTAGGGTCTTATTCTGAATTGTGGGAGTCTAGTTTGCATAGCCGATGGATGACAGTGGAAGCCCAAGATAAATTTGTAAGATCTACACAGAAATAATCCTCCAGTGATGCCCCTCTCTTCATAATGGAGAGATGGGAATAAAGTAGTTACCACATAGAATGCAGTGGAGAGATGGTTATAGGCGATCAAAATGATAAACCTGAATGATGAAGACCTTCTTAGTTGATCCCCCCTCTGATACGCATTGGGCCTCATCTGGTTTTCAATGTTTTCTGTGGTTTTTCTTCTTCTCATATTGGGGTTTATCTCTGATGCAGTTTGTCCTTGGGAATTGCCCTCTGAATTTTTGTTTTATATTTTTCTGTTTTTCTGATACATGAAACCCTGGATTGATTAACTTGTAGAGAACCTATAGAACCTAGAATAAGAGTTCTGGTGGGTACAGTGGGGTGGGGATGGGGGTAAAGGAGAAT